TTTGCAACTTTACAGATCTTCTTTATGCACCAAGAGCTTGTAACACTCCAAAGAGAAAGGAACAATGGAAATCGCATCACATGACCCCTTTAAACTTCAAAATGAATTCATTAAAAAAAAAAGAGCACTGCACAAGGCCTTGTGTCACAAGGCGGCGCTGTTGCGTGTTCTACAGGCTCGCTCAACAGTGCTTCAGACTGCTTCAAAGTGATTCTCAGTCAATGAATAGCGCACAATTATGCCAAGCGATTGCTTATGAACTCGAGTTGATGAATTATGACAATGTCTACTTTATGACCTTTATATAATATTTTTTAGACGGTTGTAAGAATGCATATTTTCTCTCTCATCTGAAGGATCAGTCCGCAATAGTATAGACATTTCAAAATAAGAGTCCTGGTGTATTTCGGGCTTGTTTATAATTAAAAGTCCTGCATCATGCATATATTTTCCCCCCTGGTTATTACTAGTAGTTTGGTTAGACAAACTGTATCTGGCATTTTATTTTGTATGGGCTGCACAGTGACAGGAAGGGAAAACAAAGAACATTATTTAACACCTATAGTGTTTTTCAATATGTAGATTTTACCAGTAGATTTTTACACCAGTATGTATACACACACACAATTATAATACATCAATCAATTGATGATTTGTATCAGAAAATGAAACTTTTGTTCAGATGTTCTGTCTTTTGCTGCCACCGTGTGGCCAGAATCTATGTTAAACTGCTTACATCAGAAGATGTATTTATCTGTTTATTTAGATTAGGCTAATTATTACAGTTTTCATGTGAATCATAATAAAGAATTACTATCCTAGTATAACCATATGCAGTCTAAACAGCATGTTTTCTAGCATTTTATCTACAAAGCAAACTATTTTATCTCACATATGTTACAGACTAGGGGGTTTTAAATTTGGGCTCATACATCAAAAGGGATTAAAGTTTTCCGTCATGGCCATTGGTATTTTGGTTACACAATTAATTGTATTTAATTTAATTTCCATTTAATTCATAGTAAACTAATGTAGTTTCTGGCTGGGATGCTTCCCCACAGGAAGAAAAGACTAAGAACATTATTTTGACATATTATTCAATATATAGATTTTACTAGTATCAGTAAAATCTGTGTCCCATTCACTGAGAGAGACACTATATGACAAAGTAAGGAGAACTCTACCATTTAAATGCTGTAATTTTGCATAATTTACAATGCATATAATGCATAATATTAGTATGTAATTAAATGTATTAGTAGCCTATGTAATTAAAATGAATTTCAGTAAATAAAAATATTGTTAAAAATCACACATTACTTGTTATTTGTCACATATAGTAGACCATTTTTGTGCCGTGGGTAATAGGAGGATTTTCCACCCGGCTACCACCGCAAGTATATTTCAAACCTGTGAGAAGCACTGCATAATGATGTAAAAAAAAACTGTAGATGAGGGTTATTTCATTCAAAAGTAAAAAACAAAACAAAAAAACTATTGTAAAACAGGAAGTGAGTTTTTATGTACATTTGAAAGCTGTGTTTTTGAGTTCTGATATTGTTTTGTGTGTTTGGCTATTTTGTAGAAGAGGTTAGGGGAGTGTTATACTACAGGAAATACAGCATAAAGTTTTTAATGATTAGTAATTTTCTGCCAGGACATTATCTGTTAAGTTTAAGGATATTTCCTTTAACCCTGAAATGTAACAATGCAAATTATATTTCAATGCAAAAAACTCTGTATTTCCATACAGAAAATTCCTTCAGACCCTATTTTTAAGGGTTTAAAGTAAAAGGAGTAAATGTCTCCCTAGTAAATCAGTTTTGCATCTCATGTTTTTCTTGCTTTTTCTCTTACACACAAAGTAAAACACCCAAACCTCATGTATTTTAATTCTAAACTATGATATTTTATATGGACTTTCTGAGGCAATGTAATAAAAATACTGTATAATAGTAAATCCTTGGCCTGAGGAACATGGAGTTGTGTACAGTTTTTGCTTTTTCTCTTCATACTTTCACACACAGGAACATTAATACAGCTACACAAACTAATTTACTTCAGATGCTTTAGTTACTAAGTTACTAAGATGCCGAACTAGCAAAACTAGGTGTCAGAGGGCCATGTACTGTAAATGTGATCATTTAGATGACTTATGAGAAGCTGACCTTGTTCTGTTGATATACTGTGTTTTTGTCCATTGTTCTGTTCCCTAAGAATAAAATTTAGATGTAGTATGTAATGTACAGTCCAGTTCAAGGGATTTTACATTTCCTCCTTATTATTCATGTTTTATTTCTTAAACACGTTTATCCCAAATTGATTAGTTAATTTAAAGTAATCCTGTGGTGTGACAAATGTTAAAAAGTAAATAAAGCATGTGGTTTATTAAGTTATCTGAGGACATAAAATCTTAATGCATAATAATTATGAAAATAATTATCAAATGCTGTTTGAGATAAGTACTGTATAAAACATCACTCCACATGACAAATGTATTTCATGCCAACTACTGATTTCATGCCATAATGAGTATTTTGTGTTGACTAATTAGTTTTCACTAAAAATGTTCTATTTTCTATTTGTGCCTCTCTCTCTCTTTAGGTCTCTCTTTTGTGTTCATCCATGACTCTGCTGTTTGCTGATGGAACAGAAGGTCCTCAGTAAGTCCTCCATGGTGTCCAGACTGCCAAAATTTGGTGCCCGTCCAGTCAGTGGTACTCCCTCATCCCTTCCCAATGGTATGACCCAGACTGCGCTCACGCAAGAGGGCAAGAATCCCCTAGCTAGGCCAAATGGAGTGGTCAGAGCCTCCTCCTTCTCCATGAAATGGAGAAAGGATAGTGGTGGGCCGGTGGACCCTTCAAACCCAGTTGAGGGCACGATACCAGAAGAGAAGAAAGAAGTTCGCTCCCAACATTCTCCAGGAAGTAGGGAGTTAAAAAGCCCTTCTACTCCCGCAACCAAAGTGCGCAGATCTGCCTCCTCATTGTCCACTGGAAGCCCCAAACCTGCACCCAAATCCCCTAAATCCATCCCGAGTCCTAAACCAAAGCCCAAAAACTCTCAAATCACCTCAGCATCCAAAAGTCAGGATGTATCCCAAAAAAGCTCAGGCTCCAAGCCAACTCAAAATGGGACTTCATCTCTGGGGTCTTCACCAAGCCAAGCAAGCTCTTCAGGGCTTCAGCGTCCAAGAGCGAACTCTAGCTCCACTCGAAGCACCTCCAGAGACAGTTTGTCCCAGTCCAATGACAGCCTCTCACGGCAGTCGCTCGTGCCTGACTACATGGTGCGTTCTCAGAGCTTCACTCACTTCAAGCAACTGCCGTCACCAACGTCTGTACCCATGATGCGCTCCTTCTCTTTCAACAAGGCAGTGGAGCTAGCCAAACCGCTTGCTAATACACAGCTTCGTCCTCCGCGAACAGTTGGACTCAAATCTCCTTTGAGCCTGAGCAAAGGCCGTCTAGTGCTCGGATTGAGGGGCCTGGGATTTGGAAAGGGGATAACAGATAGACTACCTGCTGGGGCTCCTTCTTCAGAGAGTTTAACACCTCCTAATTCCATAAAAAGGCCTCTTCTGCCTAACTTTGTGCTGACAAAACCCTCATTACAAGCCTACAAGCTAAATCGACCAATTCCTGCCAAACCGCAGTGCCCTCTAGTGGTTGGGAGGAGCCCAGTGGAGAGTGACGTTATAACTCCGCCTCTCACTCCCGAGTTGCTCCATTGTACTACAAAGAATGTGAGTGTCTGACTCTATAATTTATATTATCCTGTATAATTTAATATTTTGGATTACAGTCTATTTTGTGCAGTGGTTAAAGAAATAGTTTCCAAATTACTTTTTCTTCTGTGGGACATGAGAGAATTAGCATTGTCATATTTGTCATTTTACCACTATTCACAATTTTCTTATTTATTAGGGGTTCATTTGTAATTGTATTTGTTTGAATGTAATTGTAATTGTTAGAATGGCCAAGAATGTAATTGTTGGAATGGCATTCCCCACCTAAAACTGATCGGGCAGATCAAACTTTAAGTCGTAGAGACTTGAAACTTGGAGGGATGGTAGTACTCACACTGCCTACAATGTCACCAAAGCTCGCCCCAGTCGGCCTAACGGGGGCGCTACAGCGATCAAAAGCACGAAATCGCTCGCAACTCCTAAATCGTTAGTCACAGGCTCAAGTGTCTAATGTCGTTGGAATCGATTCTGAGCTTAGTTTTTAACAGCAGATAGTATTGCGTGCTTTAGAAACAACTACTTTTCTTGCTTCCAGTTCCTTACACACACCACTTGAATCTAAAATAGTCATTCATTAACTTTTTAAAGGTTGAAGCGAATTACAAGAGTGTTCACAGTGGGCTGGTTACATTATTCTCATGTCATAAAAGCTGAAGTGCAAGTACATTTAACCACTTACATTACTCAGCCAAACACACAGGTGCTCTTTTTCATGAGCATTTGAGTGTGCGGTTAAAAACTAGCCTAGAGCACCATCTGCTGTTAAAAACTAAGCTCAGAATCGATTCCCGAGAATCGCGATGCATTAATGTTCAAAAAACACATTATTTTTCAAATACTGTACATTATTGTAGGTCCTCTATGCCCCGCCTCTCTCAAACGCGTCGTTTTCTACAAAGTCCCTCCTCCGACAAGCGCAGTCTGCTCTGATTGGCCAGCTGACCCAGTGCATTGTGATTGGCCGAACACCGCAAGCACTCGTCGGAAATGTAACGCCCCTTACCATAATCGCGAGCTTCATCTTTCAAAAAAATTGTAAAGACAGAGCCCGAAAGGGGAATAGAGTCGCGTGTAGTGTTGTTTTTGGCGGCCTGTTTTAATTTCAGTCTTTGCAACTTCAGGGATCTTATCTATGCACAATCAGCTTGTAACACTCCAAAGAGAAAGGAAAACTTGAAATCCCATCATATGACCCCTTTAAACGATTGTATATTGTGCGGTTTTTCACACATACACATGATATTCATATCATATGATAGACCTCTTCATTCCAAACAACTTCGCTTCTAGAACTACTGCTGTCAATCAAATTGTTCATAAATTATTCACGATTATCTAAAAAGTGCGAACTTGTCCTAGGTTTTTTGCTCAATTTCAACCAAACCACTGCAGTACAATTCTCTGCACTTTCTAGATAAATAATTATCAAAAAAAAAAAATTGACATATACACTTTGGTTAGCTATAACAGGGTCATTTTTAAAGGGGCGAGGCCAATTATACCCAAAAACCTATAAATCCTAAACGAAAACTCAAAATTTCATGAAACTAGGTGAGCACATGCAACAGATGATTCTAAAAAAAGCATACAAAAATGTATGGAAATCCGACCATAGGTGGTGCTATAACAGTCATAATTACCTGGATTTGCCAAAAATGCTTTATTTAATCATTGATTTAGGTGTTTGCAGGCTTGCTAAATAATATGTAGTCTTTTTACATATGTGCTTATATGCCTTAAAGCGCTTGGACCCTGATAATCGCTGCTTGTAGCTATATTATAATTTAATATGGAGACTTCATAGTATATATTTATAGTATATATTTTTTGTTGTCTAATGATTTATTGCTTATTATTGTGTCTCAAAACATTGTCATATATGAAACATGTTTTATATTCAGTCAGTGTTCCTGTTCTAATTTTAATAAATTTGCATAGCTATTAGTAGCTCTACTGGAGCAAAAAGGGTATTTTGGTGCCACCACAGAGAAGTCAAACTATCAAAACATGACTGCATTGCAGTTTGATAGTTTTATTTCCTTTTTGTATATGTGAAAAGGCATCAGATTCCCCAGAGGAGCCTGTGACAGAGCTAGGGCTGGATGGGAACCTCCGCTACACTGGGGAGGGAATGGAGGACATGTCTCTCTCCTCTGCGTCTTCTCTGGAGAGGAATGACACCAGTGAGGAGTTTCTAGATGACTTTGCTAATCTAGGGGATCAGTTGCAGAATGGCGTCCCTCAAAACAAATATCCTGTGGCCATACCCACCCAAACACGCCTGCAGGGCCTCTTAAAAGAGACCATGGACTGGACTGGGATTGGTCTGGCGGGTATAGCTAAATATTTTTCATCTAATTCTTGCGCTTATCTGACAAAAAGTACAGCGTTGATAATATTGTCCTATTGTGGCAAGCATGCAGTGTTTATGCTGTGTTATACTACGTTTCTTCTCAGGTGGCAAGGCAGATTTAATGGGTGGTCCGCTCCATGGGCCGCCGCTCATGTCCCCTGACGTGGATCGTCATGCAACCTCCTCTCTGGAGCTCTCCCCCTCTAACAGCTCTGGAGGAACATACATGTGGGATGAGGAGGGCATGGAGCCTCTGGGGCACCACACACACATACACCGTTGCAGCAGTTATGAGTCAGACCTCAACAGCATTGTGAGTATACTCATACCCTCCCAAAATGAATTTGAACTACCCTTAGAAAAAGTACTGTGATGGAACTGTGATGTCAAAACCTGAGATTTACATTTAAATTACATTTTTGCATTTAGCATATGTTTTTCTACAAGCTCTAATGTACATTAAACATTTAAATACAGTGCACATAATTAAGAATAAATCATATAAAAAATGTAGTGAATAAAGAGAATTAGTAATTTTTAAAATAATAATTATATTTTTGTAGTTGCTAATAACAATAACAGTATGTATGATTTTATTTTTTGTTGCAGATAATAAGTTATTTTGGTTTTGTTTATAATAATAATAATAAAATATAAAATATTGTTTGATATGGTTGTTCTTACTCATTTATTATTAGTATAATAATAATAATAATTATTAGTTTTATTTACATTTAAATTACATTTATGCATTTAGCATACACTTTTCTACAAGCTCCAATGTGCAGTAAGTAATGTGCATTTAAATATATTTAAGAAAATTACCAATAAATTATATAAAGAAATGGTGAATATATAGTGAATAAAGATAACTAGTAACATTTTAATAATAATTTATTTTTGTTGTTGCTAATAACAATATTATTATGATTTTGTTTTTGATGTTGCAGATAATAACAGTTATTTTGTTTTTGCTTATAATAATAATAATAATACAAATTATTGTTTGATATGGTTGTTCTTGCTAATTTATTATTATTATTTTAAATAATATTTTAATACCATGTTAATGGTACTGCCATGTCTTTGACTGCTAATAATAAAACTAATAATAGTAATAATTATTTGGACCTTCCGTTACCAGACCACCTTTAACCACACCTAAACTATTCTCACATTATGAAACTGTAATGCAACAGTGTGACTGAATGTGGCTTCTGCAAGACTTTCAGAAGGCTGTTCTGTTCCATACTCTATGCAGGGTTCCCACGCTTCTTGAAAGTACTTGAAAGTACTTGAATTTCAGACATATGGATTCAAGGCCTGGAAAGTACTTGAAAACAAACATAGGTCCTTGAAAGTGCTTGAATTAAATTTGAAATAAATTTTGTTTATGGCGCTATTTAAAAAATTGTCATATATGTTCTGTCAAAGACCGAATAAGCGGCACTAATGATTGGGGAGCGCGGGAAAAAGAAACGTGTGTGTTGACGCGCAGCCTAGAGCTGGGCCGCCGCTCATGTCCCCTGACGTGGATCGTCATGCAACCTCCTCTCTGGAGCTCTCCCCCTCTAACAGCTCTGGAGGAACATACATGTGGGATGAGGAGGGCATGGAGCCTCTGGGGCACCACACACACATACACCGTTGCAGCAGTTATGAGTCAGACCTCAACAGCATTGTGAGTATACTCATACCCTCCCAAAATGAATTTGAACTACCCTTAGAAAAAGTACTGTGATGGAACTGTGATGTCAAAACCTGAGATTTACATTTAAATTACATTTTTGCATTTAGCATATGTTTTTCTACAAGCTCTAATGTACATTAAACATTTAAATACAGTGCACATAATTAAGAATAAATCATATAAAAAATGTAGTGAATAAAGAGAATTAGTAATTTTTAAAATAATAATTATATTTTTGTAGTTGCTAATAACAATAACAGTATGTATGATTTTATTTTTTGTTGCAGATAATAAGTTATTTTGGTTTTGTTTATAATAATAATAATAAAATATAAAATATTGTTTGATATGGTTGTTCTTACTCATTTATTATTAGTATAATAATAATAATAATTATTAGTTTTATTTACATTTAAATTACATTTATGCATTTAGCATACACTTTTCTACAAGCTCCAATGTGCAGTAAGTAATGTGCATTTAAATATATTTAAGAAAATTACCAATAAATTATATAAAGAAATGGTGAATATATAGTGAATAAAGATAACTAGTAACATTTTAATAATAATTTATTTTTGTTGTTGCTAATAACAATATTATTATGATTTTGTTTTTGATGTTGCAGATAATAACAGTTATTTTGTTTTTGCTTATAATAATAATAATAATACAAATTATTGTTTGATATGGTTGTTCTTTTATTATTATTATTATTATTTTAAATAATATTTTAATACCATGTTAATGGTACTGCCATGTCTTTGACTGAAACTAATAATTACAAAAATAATTCCAAACAGAACCACAGCACTGTTTTGCGTTTCTAAACAACCATGATGTGTTTCGTTCCTGAATGAATCAACTGTTTAATTTTTTTAATTTTTTGTATCATTTCAAATAGCAAAACATTATTTATGCATTTTTGTAACTGCGGGTTAAATCATTCCATGTCCAGGGTTCCCACGCTTCTTGAAAGTACTTAGACATATGACATATGGATTCAAGGCCTGGAAAGTACTTGAAAACAAACATAGGTCCTTGAAAGTGCTTATTTGAAATA